AGCCTGTAGCTGTGCCTGGGGTTGTGCTGTTCGCTTCTGGGTCTGACCATTCCTGTCCTGGTGTGCTGGGGTCCAGTGTCTCACAACGCTTGTCTCCCTCCTGCTTTGTTTATACAGAGCAAACAGTAGCTATCAGATTAATATACAACACTTTGTGAAGAGAAGCTCAACATCACCCAGCAGTGCACACTTGCAGCCCAGAAAGCCACTGTATGCTGGGCGGCATGAAAAAGTGTGACCAGCAGGCCAAGGGAGGCGATTCTCTTCCTCTACTCTGCTCTCATGAGAGCTCACCTGCAGTACTGTGTGCAGCTCTGGGGCCCCCAGCATGAGAGATAGGGACCTGTAGAAATGAATCCAGAGGAGGGTCACAAAGATGCTCTGAGGGCTGGAGCATCTTTCCTATGAAGAGATGCTGAGAGAGCTGTTCAGCCTCGAGAACAGAAGGCTCAGCGGAGACCTCCCAGCAGCCTTACGCTACCTAAAGGGGGCCTACGAGAAACCTGGAGAGAGACTTTTTATAAGAGCAAGTAGTGATAGGACAAGGGCGAATGGCTTTAAACTGAAACAGGGGAAATTTAGATTAGAAGAAATTCTTCACTGAGACTAGAACAGGTTGCCCAGAGAAGTTGTGGCTGCCCCATTCCTGGCAGTGTTCAAGGCCAGGCTGGATGGGGCTTTGAGCAACCTGGTCTAGTAGAAGATGTCCCTGCCCATGTCAGGGGGGTTGGAAATAAATGATCTTTAACATCCCTTCCAACACAAACCATTCTATGATTCAAAGTCATCTGGGTGTGTGTAGAGCTTTTTAAGTCGAAAGCGGTTACGCGCGAGCTGTAAATGATACCTCTCGCCACCCCGCCATGTGAAGAACCAGGCTGTGTGCTCAGAGGAGACGTGTCTGGGAGGTGAAGCCAGAGCAGCTGTCACTTGCATGCCCAGACCTCCCTGTACCCCTCCTAGTAGTTCTTGTGTGCCGACCAGCCCATGTACTGTGTCTGAGTCAGACAGTGGGGCGGAGGTGACCCCTCTGTCTGACTCAGTTGACTCTCGGTCAACTAGAGCTGAAACACACCAACCTGGTAGGATTTCTTTAATTTTTACTTACTTGGGTACTCTTGTTGGGAATCATACAAAATGCAGATGATGTATGGCCACAAGAAACTAGGGATTTTTGTGGTATCAGGATGTGAAAAAAGAGTTCTAAGAAAAAGGAAGATTGCCAAAAACTGGTATAAATCACTTTAATTAAAACCTTCAAATATAAAAGTCACAAGCATTGGAACAAACAAAACTGTTAGAAAAGTTCTAAAAAGAGGCTACCAGGCAAAAAAATCATTTTGATGTCTTAGTTGTACATTATTATAATAATTCTATATTATTAAATTTATGTTGACAATTAAGACTTTCCACTTCATTTTATGCTCTCTTCTTTTATTGAACTTGGACAATATAAGTGAATTTAGCATTCCTTATTCTCAGTTCTGACCTATATTACCTTCTGATACATAACCCTTAGGAGAATGCATCTGTGCTGTGGATGCAAACACTTCTTTGACACGCTGAACTCAAATGTAACATCTTTATTGTTCAATTTTTCATCAGAGTTTCAGAAGTTTGTCTGTTTTTCAAGTCTTCTCATTAAAAAAATGTCCCCTCCCACCCTGTCTTGAAACCCCATGTAGGTGGTAGCATCCTTTTAAAGCTTAAAAAGTGAAATACAGTGGTGTGTCGCTGTTTTCCCCTGCTGTGCTCAAAATACCATGAGGCATTGACAGTGGCACAGGTTATATATCTTAAAGAAAAGCAAATGCAAGTAAACACACGCAGGAGGAGCCCACAGGTATTCTCTGAGGGGTTTTGCTCCCCTGCAGACCAGCAGCCCACATGGCAGGGGGAAGCAGCCAGTGGCACACTGAGCTGCAGCAGGGTGTGCATGGGGAAGGCACGGCTGGGGAAGAAAAGGCACCAACTAGCCCAGGTTTCTGGCCAAAACTGCAGGAGGAATGTCAGTCTGACTGGGCAGGTTTGTCCCCTGAATTCTCTAAGGCCACTGATGCCCCTGTGATGGTCGAGGGGTGGATGGTTTGCTGAGCCTCTTTACTGTCTCATTTCCCGGAGGACCTGAGCGATTTAGGGAGTGTGAAGCAGAGCTCCACCTACA